TTCTAATTTGTGAGAAAATAAGTCTGATTATTAAAGCCACTACTTTTTTACAGCGGCAATATATAAGACATCTTCCAATCTAATGGACTCATCTTCTAGCATGATATTGGATAACATTCTGTTGAAATGAAAACCCTATGGGGTTTTTCAAATACTTGAAGTACTTTCAAATACTTGAAAACCTCCATAGGGTTTTCGCCTAAGGCACTTGACTGCTAACCAGGAGGTTGGCAGTTCAAATCCAGCAGACACTCCTCCGAAGGAAGGTTGGGCAATCTACTTCCGTAGTGATACCACCTCGGAAACCCAAGGAGTGGTCACTATGAGTCAAGTCCAACTTGACGGCACATAACAACAACAATATATGGAAGTAGATCATGAGATCTTCCTTCCTAGTCTGTCTTAATCTGGACCTTCCATTGAAACCTGTCCTTGATAGGTTACCCTGCTGTCATTTAAAATACCAGTGGCATAGCTTCTAGCATCACAGCAACAAGCAAGTTACCACAGTACAAGCACCTGGTTGATTGGTGCTTATATATTTGTTGTTGTTGTTGTTGTTATGTGCCGTCGAGTGGGACCTGACTCAGAGTGACCCCTCCTTGGGCTTCCAAGGTAGTATCACTACGGAAGTAGATTGCCCAACCTTCCTTCTAAGGAGTGGCTGGTGGGTTTGAACTACCAGCCTTCTGGTTAGCAGTCAAGAGCCTTAGGCACTACTCTACCAGAGCTCCCAGGTATATATTTAGCTATGAAGAATTAAAGGATCTGAAATATGCTGTCTACTTTTGGGGCAGTTTCTTCTTATCTAATCTCTAAGAGAGTGGAATCTAAAATATTTCAGTAGTTCTTATCTGCAGTGTAGTAAATTACTTAGTGTGGCTTTTCTACCCATAAGCCTTTGTAAACTCCAAGGTGGGATTTTCTATGAGCAACTGAGGAACTATCCACCTGGGTTATTTCTGTTGGGCGTGGCACAATACAATGTTCTGGGAGGTTCCCACTCTCTCACACATACTTAGAGTTCTGATACTGTGATTGGCTAGTTTTGAC